CCCCAGGAACGAACACGAGCAGGCTAGGATCTCACCAAGCACAGCATACCGCTATCAACACGGCGACTCGACTGCATAACATAGCCTGTAGTAGATGAACACTAAGAGTAAGAGCAGTAGTCTATGCAAGCTGCAACGCTGATCTTCGGCACCCCGCATCACTGTAGTGTTGGTGTTAGTACAGTCGTGGCCAAAGACAGTCCGACCCACAGGTCAAAATAGCGCCGAGTTTCCATTTCCATTACATCATGCACGGTCCCGAAAATCCATCCGAGGGACGCAGGGGCCATGAACCTTGGCGCTGCTTTCGGCACGTAGGTCCGTTTTCATTGGCCACAGCTGTACTTAGTTATGCATGCTAGTGCACCCTCATCAGCTCAGGCTAAACTGCTTGAGCAGCCAGGGTGGAGAGATTGTGCTAGGAAAGCGTGGCTGGAATCTGCATGTTTCATTTGTTCTGTCTTCGCTTTTGTTTTTCTCCCCCTGGGTTGTCGCAGACAAACGGTCCGATGTCATCTATGCCGACACGGTAACACTGCTGTTTGAAACCATAGCACGCCTGCTGGAGGAACACAGGCCTCAGGTCGAAACGTTTTACGGTGAGCTTGGATCGATGATCGTGGGGCTGTCTGTGAATAGGGGTTGGTATGACATTCACAGCCATTGTGCGGTGGTGCGGTGCAGTCCTGTGGAGTTGTAGTGACTTGGTAATATTTGAGAACTTGCACATCATTGTGAACCTGATGAAGGCAATTTGCCGAAACGCTGTAGTATTGTGAAATGAGTTGGATTATTGCAGTGTTAATGGAAGAGAGCGTGTGGGCTCTACTCTTAACTGTTGGTAATATTTGTTTGTGTTTTGGCATGTTTGTGGCTTCTTCTTTTAAGACAGTAGGTGTTGCTCAATGTGATTCTGTTCTCCATGCCCTGTCTTCTCCCGCTACTGTCTGCAGGTCCAGCCAATGTGTTTCCATTACTCAAAGTTCTGCAGGTTGGTGGAGTGATGCAAATACGCCATTGTTATTTTTTGGGTTTTTGTTTGTTTGTAAGAAAGCCTTTTGCAGTAGAGTCTCCCTTATGAGGACACCTCCCTCAACGAGGCAGCTTGCAGGCACTTACCTGCAGCGGGTGAACATTTCTGGTGGTCGGTTGAACTACTTTGCCGCATGAAAGGTCGTAGTCCTGGTAGTAATATCCTGACTCTGTTATTCGTACACTACTGTACATTTATGACTGTATGCGCTGCATGCCGTATGTACGTCATGCAGGCTGTCTCCCGTAGGCCAGAACCTTTGATGTGCTTCTCTCACTGGCTCGGGACTTCTCAGGGGTTTCACTGACCTGCTGGTTGTGCATTTCTTGCTCCTCATTAGTTTACTCCTCTATGTTTCATTGTCCAAACTATAAGTATCGATAATAATACTACAGTCCTCAGTTCTTGTTGGGTATGCACATGAATGGTATCAGTGTTAGTTTTGTGAGCCCAGCTGAAGACAGGGATATGTCGTATCCATTTTGGTTGTAGTGTATTCCGACTTCTGGCGGACACGTCTGAGATCGAACCGGGACTCTTTGGTCCCGCGGCGCCCGGATAAGAGATGTTCTACTGGACTTGTGTAATCTCTGTATATGACATGTGTGTGTAACTGGTGTTCTGGAGGCTAGGAAGTAGTGTTGAGTGAAGACCTTCCTGATGTGCTGTGCTTGTGCCCACAGCACGAGTGTGATGCCCAAGCCAATAAGATCTTCAAGCAGTTCATCGAGGATCGGGCTGTCGATGCTAAGGTAGGGTGTGTTGTTAGTGGTGGTGGTGGTGGTGCTGCTGCTGCTGCTACTGCTGTTATTGCTGCTGCTGCTGCTGTTATTGCTGCTGCTGCAGCAGCTGCTGTTATTGCTGCTTCTGCTACTGCTGTTATTGCTGTTGCAGCAGCTGCTACTACTGCTGTTATTGCTGCTGCTGCTGCTACTGCTGTTATTGCTGCTGCTGCTGCTGCTGTTATTGCTGCTGCTGCAGCAGCTGCTTCTGCTACTGTTGCTGCTGTTGCCGTTGCTGGTGCTGCTCTTGTTGCATGCCTGCGTGCGCGTTATGCATGAACAGATCTGTGTTTGTGCAATATGCATACACGAAGGAGACTGTACACTACAAGACAACGACACAGCACAAGTTCCACCTCTTGGGCCTATGCTGTGTAGTTTTCCAGAGCCTCCTCATCTCGTGTTTCCGTGCTTGCGTGTCTTCCCGCAGCTCCAGCAAGTCCGTATGGCCATGCACCCAACGAAGGCCACCACTGTTGAGCAACGTCCCGACCCACTCAAGTTTGATGCACTGCTCGCAGAGATGACCCTGCTACCGGCGAGAAGTGAACTCTACTTTACATTCATGAGGCGACAAGGAGAGGTAAGATGGGAGGAAAAAAATCGAGATTCGCTCCCCGCCCGCCCGCGCCAATTTCACATGTGTCCTGCCCAGCAGTCTCGATTTTATTTTGGTCTTGCCTAATTGCCAAGTAGTTGGTAATGACAACAATTCTTCGTAATGTTATGCTTACCTTCCCCCATCACATGCTGTTTCTGTGTACTGCTTATGCACTAGAATGTGCAGCTTAATCCCAAACTGGTCACGTCTCTCATCTGTTTGTGTACGGTTGCTACAAGTTGTATTGACACCCTGGTTCACCTTGCACGATGCCTGAGAAGCTTCTAATTCCGGTGTGTGTGTGTGTCTGTGTCTGTGTCTGTGCATGTGTGTGTACGTGCATGTGTGTCTGTATCTAACTTGATTCTGTCCAGGATGAGTCAGGAGGTGAATCAGGTAAGTGAAAGTGTATACCTCTACCTATGTCGGTGCCCAAGCGTGAGCATTGCCCATTCTTTGTTGTTGTTGTTGTTGTTGTTGTTGTTGTTGTTGTTGTTGTTGTTGTTGTTGTTGTTGTTGTTGTTGTTGTTGTTGTTGTTGTTGATGATATTTTATTTTGTATCGCTGACCAAGCGGGCAATGATGCCCGATGTTATGGTGGTGGTAAAGGAACGGTCAAAAGCCAAGAATACAACAAACCTCTACGAAAGAGAGAGAGAGAGAGAGAGAGAGAGAGAGAGAGAGAGAGAGAGAGAGAGAGAGAGAGAGAGAGAGAGAGAGAGAGAGAGAGAGAGAGAGAGAGAGAGAGAGAGAGAGAAGAACACCAAATGCGAATACACTTCAGTCATGATTGCCTGAGTTTGCAATACACCTACCGGCATACTATTATACCAGCCATGTGTCAGCTGATACAGTCTGTCAGTCTGTGCCAGTGCAGTGTCCATATCACACATGGTCATATCAGTATGAACCTTTCTGTATTACAATGTGTTGACTCAATCAATGTTGCTTCCTGCTGCTGGTACAGTATACGTATGGGATAAGCACCGATGTCTCAGTGTTTGTGGTGGAGTTAATTTGGATCATCGAAGTGTGATTTTATCGGAAGATCCTTTGCCCGCAGGAGACGGAGATAGATTTACCACCTCATTGTGACTGTGCATTGGCAATGCAGAATCCACAGATACTAGGGACTTCTGTGTGATTGCTTCGGGTGTTTGATCATGCTTGGACGTCGTACCCAAGGACATGACATTATGTGTATGCGTATGTTGTGATGTGTGTATGTCGGTGTGTATTAATTTGTGTATGTTGGTGTGTATTAATTATTTGTGGATGTTGGTGCTTGTATTGACGTGTGTATGTTGGTGTTTGTATTAATTTGTGTGTGCATGTATCAGGAGTGGATGCCATCAATCAGCTTCTAACTGAGTCCAACCTGTCTCGCCTCGTTCAGGTAATGCCCCTTGCTTGCTGGCTGTTGTCCTGGTGTTTTCTCACCTGGTATTTGAAGTGTAACTTCCGCAATCGATGTTCTCACTGTTGCTATTTTTTGGCCTGGTGCCACACCCAATGTGTGCACGCATGTGCGTGTGTGTGTGTACGTTTGTGTGTGTGTGTGTGTGTGTACGTGTGTGTGTGTGTGTATGTGTGTGCGTGCGTGTGCGTGCGTGCTTACTTTGGACCTCCTTTGACAAGACCTGGGGGTCTTCTGGACGCACCGAGATGTAACAAAATGTTCCGGGTTGTCTTTTTCTCTCTTTCCGTGTTGTGTGCTGGAAAATAGGAAGTGGTCCAGCACTACACGTCACTGGAGGATTTCTTCATGCGAGAAAGCATCGGCAAGGTGAGTGATTACTCACACCTACATGTTGTGTGCTCTGTAGAGGTTATGCGACAGATGTCGTAATGATGAGTCAGCGTGATTCCGGAACCGCTTATGGGTGCTATTGTAGTGGGTCCAGTCTCTCCGGAGGCGTGGGTTCGAATCCCACCGCTGCCACCAATGACTTATGTAGTGGGTAGCCGAGTGGAGGCACGACAATTAACACGAATTAACTTTGAATTGATCTTTCTCAGGTACACACCTGGATTATATGTGAGAAAGAGAAGCAGCAATAAAAGAACTTTCTCCGGTACACACCTGGAGGTTGAACAGCTCTTCTGCTTGGCTTTGTTGTTGTTATAAATTATTGAAATCAGTAAAGCGCAGCAGCTTTTATAGGGCAACAGACCCTGTACGCTAACGTTCGGGGATACACTAAATATACGCTATACTAGGAGTCAGCTACAGTTCCGTACTAGCCAGGCAGGGATACTACACTATGTATACAGAGTGAGTCACTAGTGAGTTGCCAATGCATTGCTGTGCCGCGATTTTCCGAAGCTTCTCAACTGACGATATCATCGCATTTCCTCCGTTTGTTGGAAGATTGCGTATAGGCTGATGGCTTTGTTCTGTGTAGTCAGATTGGTGATGTGATAACAGGGTGTTTTCTGGTCTTCTAAACCTGCTCTTGTGGCGAGTAAAATCCAGACTAACGTACACTTTCAGAGCTGCGAACCAATTTGTATGACCCCATTGACGTGTTTGTTGGCAAGAGTGCCGAATATGTTGAGGCCGAGTGATGTTGAGGCCGAGTGATGTTGAGTACTACAAGTGCACATCGGTCTAGATTTCACTTGACTTCATGTACCACGGCTGTAGATTGGGACCTCTATGTATGCTGTGTACATCATGCAAATCTGTGTACAAGTAGCAGTTTTCACATGTGACTGAGCAAAGTGATGTCTCTTTCTTCTCCCTTTCTCTCTTTCTCTCTCTCTCTCTCTCTCTCTCTCTCTCTCTCTCTCTCTCTCTCTCTCTCTCTCTCTCTCTCTCTCTCTCTCTCTCTCTTCTCTCTCTCTCTCTCTCTCTCTCTCTCTCTCTCAATTCTGCGCTTTTTTTTCTCCATCTGCGCATAAAATCTAGACTGACAACCTGCTTGTTAAATCATCCACCTGCTTTCAGGCGTAAAAACCCTGTTGTAGAGGTCTCAGTCCTCATTTGTTAGACTTACCTGTCTTTATAAATGTAACTTACTACTCGCTCTCTCTCTCTCTCTCTCTCATTCTCTCTCTCTCTCTCTCTCTCTCTCTCTCTCATTCTCTCTCTCTCTCTCTCTCATTCTCTCTCTCTCTCTCTCTCTCTCTCTCTCTCTCTCTCTCTCTCTCTCTCTCTCTCTCTCTCTCTCTCTCTCTCTCTGTTTTACTGATGTAGGCACTGAAGCTGGACACTGTACCTAACGGTTCTCTGTTTTCGTCCATGGTTGACGAGGTGTTCTTCGTTCTGCGCAAAGCAATCAGGTCAGTTGTCATGCCGGTAGTTTGGTGAGCTATACCTTAAATGGTCAGGTCAAACCTGTAGTTTGGTGTGCTATGCTTAAGCCAGGCTAAGGTCAGTTCATGAGTGTTGCGCGTTCACCTGATCAAAAGAGTTGTGTTGGATTACCTTGCTCTCTTTTCTTCTCTTTTCTCTTTCTTTTTTCCAGACGAGCTGTGACTACATGTGATGTGGGTGGTGTGTGCGCTATCCTTCACCATGCCGGGTAAGCGCATTCACTTGCTGCTATGCCAATCAGGAGGCGTGTGTGCGTGCATATGTACACACACACATATGCACACATACACACACACTCACACACACGCGCGCGCGCGCGCGCGCGTGCGCACACACACACACACCTGGAGAGCACTAGCCAGAGGAAGAATAGCTACTGTTGGTTGGCATGAATCAGCAGGCGTTGTTAGGCACCGTACAAAGTACAACATCCTACCGGGACCCGGTAGGGATGACCAACAGGGAGAGTAGCTGATTATTACTGAGCGAAACGACGAAAAGGCCTCTTTATTATATTTTAGTTACCAACCACACAAGAAGCCGACCTCTTTGGGAGCTATTACGCGTTGTATTATCAGGACATAGGCAACAATTTCCGCATTTAGTATGCAACATTATGGTCCAATGCCAAAGCTAGTATCGCAAGCACCAATGTGCGTTAGAATTCCGAATGCCAAAGCTGGGGGGGGGGGGGGGGGGGGCAACAATTGCCTGGTGAGAATTCAGACGTGTCAATACACAAGCATACAGTAAGAATGCACTTGTGAGCAAATGTAGGCGCACTGGGCTCGATGCCGGCCTGACCCACAATCCCTACCGTTCTCCCCAAAATACATGACCCGAACAGGAATTATCGGCATTACTATTATTATAGTATAAGCTGTAGAATATTTATATGTAATACAGGGGCGGATCCAGGGGGGGGGGGGCGGATCCAGGGGGGGGGCGGATCCAGGGGGGGGGCGGATCCAGGGGGGGGGCGGATCCAGGGGGGGGGGGCGGATCCAGGGGGGGGGGGCGGATCCAGGGGGGGGGGGGCGGATCCAGGGGGGGGGCGGATCCAGGGGGGCGGATCCAGGGGGGGCGGATCCAGGGGGGGGCGGATCCAGGGGGGGGGGGCGGATCCAGGGGGGGCGGATCCAGGGGGGGGGGGCGGATCCAGGGGGGGGGGGGGAGGTGCAAAAGCTGCTTACACACCCCTCAGGTTTTCAACAACAAAAAAAGGAGAACAGAGGTTGGTGCGACTTCGGCGATAGTAGGGGAAGAGTGTGTTGCTCCCTACATGGGAGCTCGCGGTTTTCCTGCCGACTTGAATTCTCGCTTGACGGACTCACGACTGCCACCCAGAGCACACGAGAAGTCCATCGAACCGTCCACTCGGCAAACCTGCAAAAAAAAGGAGAAGAGGAAGGAAACGGTGGCGGGTTATTTCTTTTTTTTATTATGGTTGCAGGCGTTTATGGGACAGTCTCAGTGCCTTATCTTCCTGTGACTGGCTGGGAGTAGACCTTGGCAAATACAGTACATGTACTAGTAATTCTAAAAACTGGCAGATTCTGGTCGAAAATCATTGAAATTAGTCAAACCATACGAAACTTATGGCAAGAAATTCCTCGAATTCTGTTCCCTTTCTTTTTCCGGACACCAAAAATACTTTTAACTTACCGGACGAAATGCCAATTTCTGCCGCTTTTTTTCTGCCCGCATTATCCGGTATTGCTAGTTAGGGGCGTCGGATCCGGTGATTCAATGAAATATGGGCCATTTGGGCCTAATTTTCCGAAAACAATCCCCGGGGAGGGCCCCAACCCCCCCCCCCCCCTGCCTTTTTCATAGCCGTACCAATGACAATGTAGAATACCTTCAGACACCCCTGCCAGGAATAGTATTTTGCCTCATACAAAGGCATGTATCATGTCTGGGGTCAATGCATGCTACAGAGCCACTTACAACAGAGAAAACAGCTCTTCTCCTGTTTTTAGAAAGTTTTCATGGCCAAAGTAGCTCGAGCTACCTGAAGAAATTTGTCATGATATTTTCTGCACCCCTCAGGCTATAGCCCTGGATCCACCCCTGTCATATGTACACTGCAATTGTTGTGAGGGCCGTCCAATGCAGCTACCCATTGGCTTAATGGGTAACGTACAGAAACTAGAACAATGCTGCTGGCAATGCTCTGTCAGCGAGCGGGGTGCAGACATAGCGGAGGTAGGCAGAGCTTTGCCACCTGCCAGCGGTCTTCAGCATATACTCAGGCACGCCAGCTTTGCCTGCCAGCGTTGCAGCACCCCGTCTGAGGCTATGGCTGTGCACATCCTTGTTAGGTAAGGCTGTTTGCAGCAGCGTGTTGATGTTCTGCGGCTTCAGGGGTGTGCCGTCTTCGTAGCGGTAGAGCGGGCCAGGTGCCTAGCCACGGGCTGCTAGGTGGCTGGTGGCTGCCGTGTGCGAGCATGTCGGCGAGTCTGTCCTCCTTACGCTGATGTCTTGGCCGCTACCGTATTGGCTTGTCTTCGTCACACGCAGGCGCTGCTCTACGCTGTCTGGGTAGATGGTAGCATCGCTGTATTCAAGGCCGGCGGCCCGTGCTGTGAGGGTGTATTCGTTGACTCTGAGCAGCCCATGGAAAGCCGAAGTCACGGCGCTCCAGAGCATAGTGCGGATGTGCGGGCTAGGCACAGTAGACTGTAGGTAGTGATGTACGCCAGTCAGATCGCCTAAGGTCGCAGCCGCTTGCACTTTCCCGACTTCAGTCTGGGATCTCAGAGCCCCCTGCTGGAGCAGCCTGACTTGCGGTGAGGCAAACACATCCGGGCAGAGGCCCTGCAGCACATGCAGATGTCTCAGTGCCTGGTTGAATTTATCAGATAAGGCCCAGTCACTGGGTACGGCTCGACCTGCCGAATCCAGCTCCTTAAGTAACAGATCGGCATCCGATCGATGTCGCTCGTCGATGTGACAACCAGCGATGAAAACACGAACGCCGGAGTCGTCCGGCATGTTGTTGTGGATGGTTTCCAAGGCATCGTGAATGTACGTCAACCTGGGCTGTCCGGGCAGTGCTGTGCTGCAGGGACAACATTCCCCCCCCCCCCCCCCGGCATATGAACATTACTCGGCTGTAAACACTGGCCAAGGTTGTCAAGCAAACCTGACTGTCAGCGCAGCAAAGATGAAGGAGACACAGCGTCGAGAGCCGGAGTAATGCGCATGTTCCGCGCGGCCCCGTGCCGAAGCGCGGGAGTTCGGAATGCATGTTATACATGTACACGTGATGCGTTATGGCAACTACATGAACGTGCAAGTATGTTGATGGGTTGCTAAGTTCACTTACCGTGCCGTGCACAGGAACTTATATTTAAAAATTCTTCTTTCAACCTTCTATGTTAATAAACTGAACCGTCCACCTCTCCACACTGCGCTCTTGACGGTGGACGGTTCAGTTTATTTTCAAATGGCCGAGTTTGTCGCTACTTCTGAGTTAACCTTCTATGTCACAGTTTGAATTGTTTCCATGGTACATGTGCCAGTCCCCAAAAAAGCGCTGCTGCAGTGACCATCAATGTGCAAGTGCAGTGTGACCAACAGGGAAATGTTTGCCACTGGTACGACTCGTACTAGTATCCTTTTTTGCCTCAGCAGCAGAACACGCTGATTTACTGCCTCGATGGGACCGGAGCCTGAGATTCTAAGAAGCAGACACCGTTGATTAGGGGACTTTCCCCGGCTTCTGCACTCATCTACTCCTATTTCTGTAGGGAAGTCCCCACGGACCTATAGTCTCCTTCCTGTGTACTGTAGAACGGCTAATTTTAGCGGGTAAAAAAATCGCGTTTTCGGAATCAGGACCAATTCGCGATGAAAATATTTTAGCGATCCGAGTTTCAGAGTAAAAAAAGAATATGACTACTTCGAAGCAGTGCTTTACTATACATGCAGGATTTCGATGGACGCGGCAAAACGTTAGCGAAAACTTTCCTTTCGCCGAAATCGTTAAAATATCCCCGGCTCTAAACGATTGTCCGCAAACTGCAACGCAGCCACTTACGCATTTAGAAAACTTCGCGGCTCTAAAGTTAGCCATTTTCACAGTACTTGTACTTGTACACTACATGTTATTATTGGTTTGTCGTCTCATTGTCCAGATCTCTCCTAAGCACGGACTTTTATGAAATCATCGAAGGAAAACTGAGGACTGGTTTCCCCTCGGGAAGGTAAGCACTGGGCTTGGAAACTGCGTAGAGTTGCAGAAGTCGCAAACGTGTTGAATGGACACCACAAGTGAAAACCGTGTGGGGGGGGGGGGGGGGGGGTTGAGGTGATGCTGCCTGAGTGACCAGTCTGCTGCATTAGTTGACCTGATACTTACATGTGTGCGAGTGTGTGTGTGTGTGTGTGTGTGTGTGTGTGTGTGTGTGTGTGTGTGTGTGTGTGTGTGTGTGTGTGTGTGAGTGTGTGTGTGTGTGTGTGTGTGTGTGTGTGTGTGTAGGGTGTGCATAGGTAACTGTCTTGGCCGTTTTATGCCGATGTACTCCGTGTGGTGTAGACCAGGTGTGCATTGGTGGTCGATTCACATGGCTTCGCCAGTTGTGTGGATTAGACAGTTATTTGGCGCAAGTCTTGATCTGTCTCATTCAGATCTTGTTCGCTATCGTTGCTATAAGAGAAAATCTGTGGGTGCGCATCCAGTGCATTTGCAGATTTGCGTGCTTCTCTTGCGACGGGCGTATACATGGTACATGGTGTGTGTGCGTGTGTGTGTGCGTGTGTGTGTGTGTGTGTGTGTGTTCATGTGTGCTAACAATCATGTACGTGTGTATATATTGTGCTCAGCATTGATTTCAGCGGTGTACTGCAAGGCCATATCTCATCGACCGTACAGACTGTGCAAAGCAGTTTCCAGTCGAGCAGTGATGCTGCAGCAGCACGTGCTGCGTTCCTGGTTAGTACTGGAAGCATTGTGCTGCTGCATGTTGGACACTGACAGGGGCCACCTGCATGTTCACGTTCTCCCAGATTTTCATCGTGCAGTACTTGCTTATTGTGATAGGTGACACTGATGTTGCCAAGAATGCTTAACCTAGTCCTGTCTTGTTGGTGGACATCGGGCAGATTTGAAAGAAGCAAAAAAGGGGGATTTGATTGGGGGAGATTTGGCAGGGTGGAGAGCTATTTGTTAGTTCTGCCGAATTTGGTATCGAATATATAAAAAGTGTTTACTTGCAAGTCGAGTCTTGCATGCAATAAGTATGTATGTTCTGAGTTTTGGCAGCAAGAGGATAAATGCGGCTCTACTGAGTTCAAACATAGTGTGTGCTTTGTATGTGCCTAGGTGACTTTGAACAACACTTCAGCTGCTATCGACAACATCAAGAAACTGGTGCAAGATGTCGAGGTAGGCACTACATACTAATTGCTTTAATGTACGCACCTTGGACCTTGGACGCCCATCGCTATTGTCGTGCGATAATAGCGTGCGAGCTGAGCAATACGGGGAATGACGCTTCATTTCACCCGCCCGGCGAACGCACACACACACACACACACACACACACACACGGGTGGTGCTGGTGATGGTGGTGGCGGTGATGGTGGTTGGTGTTGCAAAGGCTTTCTCCTTGGCTTCAATTCACAATGATTTGATTTAGAAATTATCACACCGGACCAGTACCTCCATGAACTAGTATCATTGTTTTACTGAGCACGCACAACTGGTATTTTACTATTTTGTGTTCTTTGCCTTTTACAGTCTGAATGCAGCAAACTGAGCAGAGATATGCGCAGCGGAACAAAGATCCAGGTAGGAGTCCATATCTCTCTCTCTCTCTCTCTCTCTCTCTCTCTCTCTCTCTCTCTCTCTCTCCTGTCTCTCCCTGTCTCTCTCCCTTTCTCAGGGTGCGTTCTTAAATCCTCTCGGAAAAGTTGGAGACTCTCCGAAACGTTTGAGAGCTGTTCTTATATCCTCTCCGACTTTTAGGAGGCTCTCCAAAGCTCTCCAAGCTCTCCAAGCTTCAGAGGTGGTTGAAACTTGGAGATTCCCGCGGTTTGGGATCAACGCATGCGAACTACGACTAAAAGACACGTGTTCATCATGAGTGTACGCATTTCCCTTTTCGCATACGCACACGTGCATTGCTACATTCATCACTCAAGATCGCGGCCCCTTTGGCGCTTCATTTTGCTCGACATGTGCAAAATATCTCCGAATTCTTCGAGACCCGTTCTTGAATTATCCCAGTTTCTTCGACTTCTCTTTTCTTCTTCTCCTAGAAGCTAGAGAATGTAAGAACGCACCCTTACTCTCTGTGTCTTCCAGCCTGTTACCTGAATTTGTTTCTTTTCGGCCATAGCGTCCTGTGTGTGGATGTGCACGTGGTGTGTGTGTGTTTATGTGCATGTCTACGTGTTTGTTTATGTGTGTGTGCGTGTATGTGTACGTTTGAAAACGACAAACCAACAACCCACTATCTTTCGGCTAACTGACAACTTACCCTGAAGGGCTGTCATCATTGTTATTTTATCTTGATGTGTGAACCTGTAGTGTTGTACGATTTGTGAATACTGTAAACCGTGAAATTATTGCCATGGTCTAATTTCTGCGAAATTCGCGACCGCGTGGAAATCGCGAAGGTTAGACAGCGCGAAAAGGAGATCCATGAAAGGTTTAGCAAGAATGCCACAGGTTTAGCAAGAATGCCATGCTGCAATCGCAAAATTAAAACCTCGCAAACCTGTCCGGATTCTGAAAACGCGAACTACAAACGCCGCGAAAATTTCACGCTTTACAGTATTTAGAAAAAGGTAGTATGATGTACTGATACGGGAATAGCACTCAGCATGCATTTCTGGTGTAATATTTGGACAGTTGTAATGCGTGTGTGTACGTGCACGTGTGTACGCATACGTGTGTGTATGTGGGTATGTGTGTGCACGTGTGTATGTGTGTGTGTATGTGTGTTTGTGTGTGTGTGTTTGTGTGTGTGTGTGTGTGTGTGTGTACATGTATATGGTATGTGCGCATGTATGCGTGTGTTAATCGTCCTTTGTTCGCTTGCAGACATGTCTGGATGAGCTTAGCCAGTGCACCAAGGTCTTCCAGCAGCTTCTGGAGGTGAGCCCCATATGCATTGCCACATTCTTTGACTGTACTTGCATGACTGGTCACACGTTTACCAGTTCAGGTTTGATTGTCGTACGCACACTCCTGGATATGATGGTACTGTCACTTTGAGCTTGAAAATTGGACTCTTGGTTGATGCAGCTGCATGTTAGAAAGTCTGATATTGTGACTGACAGAACAAGAGTGTCAATGTTTTTTTTAAACAAATTTAGTTGAAATTCTGTCTGTATTTGAGTTGCATTTAACGTTTTGACTTTATTCTGTCTCCCCCCCCCCCCTCTCTCTCTCTCTCTCTCTATCTATCCATCTTGCGTATGCACACACTACTTTCAGGATGGCCGTGGTCGACTGGCTGCCTCTCTCAGCCCGCGCATGAAGCCACTGGTGGATGAGTTTGCTTCTTTCTCTCACCAACCTACAGAGGTCAGGAATTTGCTCTCTCCGTTTTTTTGTAAACTTGTTTGTACGTACAAGTACCTTATGCTCACATGTGGGGTACTATTATCTGGAGGTGTTTCGGGACAGTGGAGGAGGCCAGACCTTTGCAAGGATTGCTGCTTGTACAGTTTATAAAGCAGTAAAGTAGTGGCTGTTGGTGAAGAACTCTTGTTTGTACTGATTGTTTCGGAGCTGCAGGGTACACAACTGCCATGTGGGTAAACTGCTGTCTCGTGAAACAAGAGAAGCCGTCGGCTGGTCGGGCTTTCTCTCTGAATTTTTCTTGGCAGCTGTTATCCTATTTACACTAGTGATGCATGTCACCGTGTATAATGGTGACGTGGCACATGCCAAACTTCCCAAGTTACTTGTGTTTCATATGTATGGCGGGTGGTAACGCGGGTGTACGAACTTAACTCTCTATCTTCTTTACGTGTCGTTCGTGGGTTTACATTATGTGGAGCTCCTTGCACACACCACTGATGTACGCACACACATTCTCATTGCACTCACATGTTACGAATGATGCACAGTACTGCAGCCGGCCATGGAAGAACGGCCAGGCTAGAATTTCAGTATTTCACCGAGCACGGCATACCGTTGTATACGCGCGGTGACTCCACTGCGCAACGACTTCTGTACATCGTTAAAAAAAGAAGTACAGTCTAGGCTACGAGGCTGACACCCCCAGCTCTTCAACACCCAGCAGTACTATAATATGTGTGCGCATACACACTGAAATTGTAGCCCCTGCTATGTACACTGTGTTACCATGGTTACCAGTGGTTCAAGGTGTACACCAGGCTGACTTGTGTGCAAAACCATTCACTGTGGGTCACAGCACGGCTGGAAAAATCCTTCCGCTTCCAAGCAGGACTTGAAACCTGGTACCCTCTGTTTCTCAACTATGGTCCCCATCCCACTATGCCTGACTTGTGTGCAAACCTATAACTAATTTCTTTGGCATTATTGTGTGTTTGCAGGATGAGTTCACTATGTACGAGGCGCATGACGAGTTTGTGGAGCAGCTTGTGCATGGACTGGAGTCACTCTTCCATTCAGTGAAGGTGTGTGTGTGTGTGTGTGTGTGTGTGTGTGTGTGTGTGTGTGTGTGTGTGTGTGTGTGTGTGTGTGTGTGTGTGTGTGGTTGTTTCTTTGAAAATTTCGGATCTGTACTACTGCATAGAGAACATCTCTTCATCCGAATGACTCGACTGTGCTTGTACAGTGCTCGTGGATGTCACGAGGAGTGAAGTCGAATTGTTCGCCCTTTATTATTAACGAAGGAATCAGCAATGTCTTTGCATGCACTTGTGTGGATGTGTGTGCGCGCGTCCGTGCGTGTGCTTGTGTGTGTGTGTGTGTGTGTGCGTGTGTGTGTGTGCGTTCCTCTCTGCTAACGTTGTGTGGTCTGCAGCCTAACCTGACTGGTGATAATTTCGGCAATGCCGTGTCTCTGATGGTCACTGAACTCACTCATCAGCTGGAGCGTGCAGTTAAGAAATCAGCCTTCAACCAGGTTAGCAACTGTGTGCTCTCTGTACCCTACAAACAATACCTCATTTTCTGATAGTCTGTTCTCTGTCGGAATTGATTATGGTTTGAAAGGTCAGAACTTGAAGCCATGTACTGTAAAACGGTTAATTTTAGCGATAGTGATATTTTAGCGATTATAGCGAAAGGAGTGTTTTCGCTAAAGTTTTGCCGCGCCAATCGAACTTTTCCGTGTCCAGTACAGTGTGATCATCCCTTTTTTGAACTCTGCAACTCGGATTGCTAAAATACTTCGTCGCGAATTAGTCCAGATTCGAAAAACGCTAAAGTTTTTACCCGCTAAAATTAGCCGTTTACAGTACATGTGCACACGTACGCACACTGTTCATACACACGCACACATACACACGCACACATACACGCGCGTGCACACACACACACACACACACACACACACCACACACACACACACCACACACACCACACACACACACACACACACACGCACACACACACACACACACACACACACACCACACACACACACACCACACACACCACACACACACACACACACACACACACACACACACACACACCACACACACACACACACACACACACACACACACACACACACACACACACACACACACACCACACACACCACACACACACACACACACACACACACACACACACACACACACACACACACACACACACCACACACACACCACACACACACACACACACACACACACACACACACACACACACACACACACACACACCACACACACACACCACACACACCACACACACCACACACACACACACACACACACACACACACACACACACACACACACACACACACACCACACACACACACACACCACACACACACACACACACACACACACCACACACACACCACACACACACACACACACACACACACACACACACACACACACACACACACACACACACACACACACACACACACACACACACACACACACACACACACACACACACACACACACACACACACACACACACACACACACACACACACACACACACACACACACACACACCACACACACACACACACACACACACACACACACACACACACACACACACACCACACACCACACACACACACCACACACACACCACACACCACACACCACACACACCTGTATTTGTATTGAGGTTGTACTGTCTTCTTTTGTTGGCTATCTGCAGCTTGGTGGTCTTCACTTTGACAAGCAATTACGTGCACTGGTAGCATACCTCTCCACAGTGACGCAGTGGACCATCCGCGACAAGTTCTCCAAGCTAACACAGATTGCTACAATCCTGAACTTTGAGAGGGTACGCAACGTGTACGAGTGTTGTTTCCATATTTGAGTTCTCTGGGTTCTCAATATTACACACAAGTATGAGGTTGTGTCGGGCTGTATGATGGTTGGCAGGCTGGACTAGGACAGCAAGCCATTGGTCAGTATCCTGAGCCACTGTTGCAGAAACACCGATGTAGATCAGTTGCTACACAGTACAGCGCAAAATTGCCCTTGGCAAGCAAAGATGAACCTGCCACACACGTTCACAATGACGGGAGGCCGAAGATTGGTTGTCCAGTCAGACCTCGCTTATCCGGTCCTCTTTTATCCGGATCCCTTGCCATCTGGAAACAAATCGTTTGTTACCGATTTACAGCGTTATGTCATGCATACATACATACAGGAGGTGTGTTCGATTATCCGGTTCCCTCACCTATCTGGATATTTTTTGTGGAGAACGGATGTATGCGGTTATGCGAGGTCTGACTGTAACCGGTAACTCCGAGTCTCATGGCATTGAGTCAATCATCAGATAATACCATGATCAGTGGCTGTCGATTATAGTGTGTGCTTGTGCTGTTTTGTGGTCTGTGTTCTGTTGTGCGTAGCCTGCGGAGATAGAGGATTACTGGGGTCGGAATGCTGGTCCTGTCACCTGGCTGCTGAGTCCACCGGAAGTCAAGGACATCATGGCTCTGCGGTGAGTGCCGGCACAGGAAGATTGCTAGACTTATTCAATCCTCTTTTTCAGTCTTTTATCCGCTTGCTTTAGCAAGCGGTGGGAACGTGGTTGGGAGCCACAGCACAGCAAACAGTTTGAAAACAATTTGAAAATGAATGCTGTCGGTAGTCCAGTTCACACACCTATCCAGGCACTTTGTATTTCTGAGAACCCATCCATGCTGCACACTCTGGCAAAGTCTGGGTTCCTGTACTCTTACTGCTACTGTACTTCACTATAACTGAGTAGTAACTTTAGTACTCCTGGTCATGCTTGCCATGTGAATTCTTGTATACACAGGAAGGACTTCCGTACGGATGACATCAACCGACTGAAGCTCTGAGGTGAATGTGGACGAGAGCTCCCAGCACGATTCGTGAGCAAGGCCTGTTGTTGAATCATGTACCGTTGTGCGTGTAGCAAGACCTGTCGTTGAATCTTGTATCATTGCATTGGCAGCCAGTGGTAAGGCCGGTGTGCCTACTATTGGGGAAGTCACTGTCACTTGTCAACATATCCACAGTATTTTTTGGGCTCAGTATACACACACACACACACACACACACACACACACACACACACACACACACACACACACACATGCGCGCACACACACACACACGCGCGCGCGCACACACACATTTCATTGATATCATCTCCGTTTATTCTGTAGCTCAATTTTTTTAAACATGTTCTTTTCTGCTTGCCATTGTAAATCCTGCACATACAAGAATGTAATTATAGTATACCTTTATCGATTTGCCAAAAACGTTTTGTAAATAACGTGTATGTTTCTGGGTTTTTTCTGTAGATAGATTTTTACTTATTCCATTCCGGTATGTTTCGCGCGTAGGTATTCATGAATTACCCTACTTTGGCTCGCCTGCATACGTCTTATCAGTATTCATAAATCCCATTGCCATGTCACGTACACATGTACACAGGAGATCAATCAACGTTGTGTAAGACTGGGTGGAGAGTAGAGTTTGAAGCCGTAGATTAGTTCAGCGGGGTGCCATCCAAGATCCTGGGTTATGTCAGTCAAGGACAAAGGAAAAGGCACTGATATAATTATTATAATGGGATAGAATGGACTAGCTTATATACTGGTAGCAGCGCTCTATGTCATGGACTTGTAATCGCCGCGCACACACACGCACGCACGCATCAAGCCTCTGTGGACTGCTGCATGAGGTTCTTGATGATGGTCTGCCGCCACTTCCGCACGTTCTCCTCGAACTTGAATAAGGAGCGATTCAGGGCACCGACTTCGCCACTGTACTTCTTTGTCAGTCTCTGAACGAATGCCTCCGGGTCGACTGGGTCTTCGTCCAGCCCCAGTGCCTCGGATCGCTGGCCTGCGCCCTGTGAGACTTTCTCGTAGAAGATGTTCTGCACGGCGCGCGACGGCGTCTTGGCCATCTTGACGGCAAACGAGTAGCGGGGACCTTTGAACTTGGGGCTGGGAGGTCTGGCCGCGTGCGGGATGAGACCTTCGAAGATCACGGAGCGACCGTACCGTGGCCGAACCTACATGGGTCATGGCACGTGCAGGTAGCAGAAGACACATGCACACAGCAGAGAACTCTTTACAGAACAATACTATACCAATGCTGCATTGCTGGGTTTGCACTTCAGCAACGTTTCACTAGACGGAGAAATGAAATCCGGAGAGAGATTCAAGTATTTGGAAAGAGCATACAAGGCTGGGATCACCGGGTTCAGAATGCTTCACCACACTCCAGGAAAGACACACAGAGAAAATCCAGGTACAGTGGTCCCTCTATAATCCGGCACCATTTGTGCCACGGAAAATCTGCTGGATTAGGGAGGGTGCTGGATTAACAAATCGGATCTACAGTCTGTATCGGCTATAGCGTACCCTTTTGATTTCCGTGATTTTATCACTATAACCGATGCATCACTATAATATGCGATACGATCAATTTTTTCTTTCTTTTTTCGATCGACACATGAAAGGCAAGGAAATACTTCCAGCATGGCGTTTTGACAAATGAGCATGCTGCATAGTTGACAGTGCCCGCATTTCCATAAAAAAAATTCTGTTATGTATGTATCACTATAAAAATACCGTAAAAGTCCGTAAATAAGTACCTGCCCGAAAGAAATACCCCCTTCATTCTTTTGGCTCTGTCTGTTGAAGTCAAGTCAAGCCCGATAAACATACTGCCCGAAATAAGTACCGGTACAGTGCGCGCATGCAGCACGTAGCATGTACATCGACATGAAAATGACTTCTCCACTACACGCAAGTCAGGTCCGAAAGTTAGTTCGTGCCCGAAAGTCAGTACCCGCCCGAAAGTTAGTACGGGTGTGGTCACTAAATTCGAAAGTAAATACGTACTTATTTACGGACTTTTACGGTAAGCAACGTGAAGAAAGTAAAAAATAGGGCCTTTGATATTATTGCTGCTAAACCCACCTACTGTAAAACAGCTAATTTTAGCGTTGGTAATATTATAGCGATTTTAGCGAAAGGAGTGAGTTTGCTAAAGTGTTGCGGCGCCAACCGAAATTTTGCATGTACATGTACAGTACACGCTTTTAGTTTGACAGCATATTACAAGGTGGGGGAATACTGTGTTCGGAAACAGTGTCCCTTGCTACACGCCTTGTAATATGCTGTCAAACTAAACGCGTGTTTCTACAATACAAGGTTTAGCTAATACCATGTACAGCACAGTACGAGTCATCTCCTTTTTAAACCTCTGAAACTCGGATCACCAGAATATTTCATTGTGAATTCGGTCCAGATGCAGGAAACCCTAAAAATTTAATGTTTACCTGCTGAAAGTAGCCGTTCTACAGTACTACCCACATTCCTCCACGACCACCTACAATTGTACATGTACGTAGTGTGTTCATACCCGGTATACCGGTACATGTTTCAGGAAGTCAAAACAAGTATTTGCATGCTGTTTGTTTGCTTGGCAGTTCACAGTGGAATCTAGGGAGTAGTACAATACCCGGAATTGTACTACTCCCTGGTGGAATCAACACTCACTGCATCATAAGGCCATCATTTTTTATAGCTATGTTTCGCGTCGTCCGCACGCATACGTTTTGATTTTTTTGGAAAAAAATAAAAAATCGAACATGCACAGTGATTGTACGATCGTGCGAGTCATAAGTGTGGACTGGTTGCATACGGCGAAGCTGGGATTCAGAAATGGCCTCTACTGGGCTCTAGGCCAGCATTGGTAAATCGTTTGTTCGGCATCTGGGAGCAATATTCTATGAGCTTACACCAGACCGCATTGATCGCCTCAAGCTGAGAGGATGCGTCGTTCCGGAGCTCTTTGCACCGCTGCTGAAGTCTGAGTACAATAATCCAGCAAAGCATAGGCACCAACGGTTGCCTCCTCCGTCCAAAGTGAATTTTTCTTTCGAATGTACACCATGCACGAGCTATTGTGCTATGTACAGTGCATACACCTACCTCTGATGTCGTGATGAGCCTTTTTTATTATTTTGCAATTTTTTTATTTTTTTCCACCTCTCGCATATGATTCTGGAAGTTGACCTGACATGACGCGAAACATAGATATAAAAAATGATGGCCTATTAGCAAAGAACAAAAAAGGTACCGACCTTCTCATATAAAAAAAGAAATTCCATGTTTCCACCCGGGATCGAACCGGGGACCTTTCGCGTGTTAGGCGAACGTGATAACCGCTACACTATGGAAACAGCAGATGGAAGGTGGCTGGGTACACTGGGAGAAAACAGAGCTTCTGAAGCGGCAGTGCAAAGTCCCATAGATTCCCGCAGACCCAGTTGGGTGCTGAGTGATTATGTACTGGACGCCCTATTGTGTTTATTGCATTTCCCGGCACTATGAAACGTGCCCTGAAGTCCGCAGTGAAGGCCTTTCATACAACGGCTTTTCGGGAAAAAAAGATCTAGTCCCATGATTAGCTCTATCCAACATGATGAAGCTGAAGAAGCGAATGTCTTCCATAGTAGTACAGTAGTATTCTTTTATTTATAGTGGATTCCATACATTAGTGCCGGGTTGAATTGATCAAATGTGCACACCTACTGGCTTTCGTACATCTACAGTACAATGTGCATGATAAAGCCCTATACATGTACGGCGCAGGGCAGCAGATACAGCCCTGATGGTTGAAAAACACACTGGAGTTGGGCCGACGGCCACTGACAGCTTCTACTGTCCAGGGTTTAGTGCCACAGAGAAGAGCCTGGAAGAAGAAACAATGATGGTCCAGGACACTGTACTCTTCCACTTCAAGTAGTAACGGTAATACCTGGCAACACACATACCCACACATACACCACTGCCAGTATCGACTCACACCGTGAATGCTTTGAAGCTAACCGGCATCAGCATGACTATCCACTCACTCACCTGATAGACCGTTTCTGTTTTGTCGGTTTTGCTCGTGAAGAAGGCCGTCTCGCCAAAGTCGTTCTCGTCCATTGGCGACAGGTAGAGCAGGAATGTCCACTCGTCGTCTCTCTCGTTGCGCACATCACCATGTATGCGAGTGTGATCATAGCTACGGATGATGTTGCAGGAAATGTCGTACGGATACCAGTCACCGGCACCATCAGAGACGTGGGCCGCCACCTGCAGTAGCAGCAAAGGACCCGCCAACACGATACAAAAGGTACGTGCACATAGATAGTAAGACATAGGCTAGTAGCAAAATCGTAAAATCCAGGACAACTGCGACTACTACTCACATGTGACTACCCATCCTCGATCGCATGTGCACGACTTTAATATACTTGTACGGTCATGACTCATGTTACGTTATCATTATGTCAGACAGTGTGCTGCTTAATGAAATCCAATCGCCCGAGTCAAGTACACGCCAGGTAAGGATGCTATGCAGCCCTACCAGTCCGTGACGGTGACCTGCATACAACACCGGGCTATCATGAACTGGTGTTTGCAGGCCGGCAAAGCTGACTCGCTTGATCGGATGTCATCGAGCAGCACTGTACACGTACATGTACATTACATGCATGTACATGTACACGTACAACGTACTGTTGTGGACATGGAAATCCGGTCGGAGGCCAAGCGGCTCCAGGGCCATGCTGGCCATGCAGCCGCGAGTACGCACACGATCAACAGGTGCACTGCATGCAACGTTCTGTACGCGCTGAGGGCGCCGGCCCCGGTCACTCGACTGGATTTCCACGTCCACGACAGTGCATGGCTTGAAGCACACTTTTAAACTACTCACATTTTTGATGATTTTCCAGAACTTGGACTGCACAAAGTAGTGCACTTCAAACCCGGATATCCACTGTACATTGTCACTGTACGCGTCGATCGAGTCATCGTAGAACACCTTGCCGTGGCTCATCACGTAGCTGCGTAGCGCCAGTAGCTCTTCGTCCGTGAACAGGTCGTCGAAGGCCACGATGCGCTTACCGGTGGGAGCGAGACGCCGCAGCACCTCGTGTTTGCCGACGTCCACCTCGGCGCCGACCTGGAGATCGCTGGCCGAGCGAAACGGGAAGCCCTCCATGATGCCGGACTCTATCTCTGCGCGGTCCGCTCGCCGCTGCTTCTCGTGCTGCAGGCACTTTGATGTGTTTGTTGTCCATTTAACCATGAGGATGTTCTCTCCCTGGCTGTAGCCGATGCTCGGTGGACGGCACAGGTAACCCAGTGAAGGTTTCCACACCAGTAGGCGAGCAAACAGATTACTGGCACCGCCGATGATCTCCTTGTCGCCGTCGTAGATGATGACATCGCCGTAGTTGTTTGCTCGCCATTCGTCGTTCAGGAAGAGCATCATCCACACCTCGTTCTCTGCGATCTCCTCCGGCGAGCCGTAGTGTATGGACGTGAGGTCACCGCGTCGCACCACTTTGTACGTGACCTCGTACGGCAGTAGATACGGAATATCATCAGCATCAACAACATCATCGTCATCATTACCATTGGTGCTGCTATCCCCCAGACCCATCCTGTAGGTTGTAGCTAGCATCTGCAGCTCGCGTCCCGTGGCCAGGCGCGAGAAGTCCTCCGTGTTGATGCGCGCGCCCCACGGTACACCGTCACCACCCGCCTCCTGGTCTTTACCATCCCTGCCGGTCAGTTTGAAGCCCCACCACGTGGTACCCATCAGGTAGGATCGGGCAGTCTCCAAGCCCTCCTCGCTCAAGTAGTCGTCCAGCACCCACACGTGCTCCCCGCCAGCGCTCGGTGCACCGGCCGTGAATGTTCGCTTCAGAGCCTCGCGTGCCGAATCTCTGGCGTCCTGCAGTGCTTCGCTGTCCAATTCCAGTCCGTAGTCGCGGGACGAGAAAGCCTGAAAGCCAAACGCAGACGACTCTGCGCTTTCAGCATCGTTCCTACCGTGACCCAGGACAAGCAGGCCTATCGCTACACGCAGTGCAAGGCGAGAGAACCTCCCTTGTGAACTCCGCATGGTTGCAAACCTGTTCGTCTGTTCATACATCACTCTGTGCCAACAGCAAGTGCTGCAGCTGATTCAGCACGGACTTCGCAGGGCGACTCTCCACTCTCCGAGCCCGTGGAGTAGAGCAGATGTCCTTCCTCCACTCGCTGGCTTCTTCCCTGAAATTTTGCTCAACCACGATAAAAAATACAGGCGGCAGCGCAGAGTGCCGTGCTAGTGCAGCGCGCACTACCATGACTACACTCACAGTTAGCCAGCTACACGCGCGCACGTGGGACGTGGCGCCGGCGCGGTGATGCGACGCTCGATCTCCGGAGCTCCGATCCGGCGCGGCACGCGGTAGCTGCTAGCTGTGACCATGGTGCACCGATGACACAGTTAGACTATAGACTAGAGTGTGGCATGGCAGCGCATGTATGCACGTGCGTAAAAGTTTTGCACTTGCTCTTTCGAAAATGACTTTTCAGTTTTCATGTTCTTTTGCAATAATTATTACAATGGCAATGCACATGTGGCAAGCTTCAAAGACGAGGAGATCAAAATACAAATGAAATTTATTATTATTGTTTTCACTTGTCGCTTCCCTCTGTTGTGTTGGGGCACGACCTGATTGTCTGTTGTAGAAATGTCGGAGGCTATATTGCCCCTGTTCTGGGATTTAGCATCTCCCGAAGATGAAAAGAGAATCGCTGCCGTAATGAAGTTAATCTCGTCATTGGTGGACAGTCAAAACGAGAACAAGGAAGAATTATGTTCAGACGTACAATACTCATTGAAGCGACTTGTGAGAGGTCTTTCTTCTCCCAGGCAGGCTGCTCGACAGGGATTTGCAGAGGCCCTGTGTGAGCTGCTGCGTCAGTTTCCGAAAGTGTCCACGGAGAGTTTTGTAGAGTTGATGAAAGAGCACCTTCAGCCCAGTGCCAACATGAAAGGCTATGAAGAAAGCAACGTGCTATTCGGCCAGGTCAGTGGATGCTATGTTAACATTGATTACCAGTACATGTACTGTTTTGTGCTTATCCAGTTTACCAGCATGTCTACTACTGAGTACTAGCAGTACGCGGTGTGGTGACATGTACATGTTTGTAGCTGAATAGTAATCAGTGATGAAATGATTCACCATCACGTGATGAACTGAGTTTCTATGTTTTCGTGTCTCTATTGTGTGTGTGTGTGTGTGTGTGTGTGTGTGTGTGTGTGTGTGTGTGTGTGTGTGTGTGTGTGTGTGTGTGTGTGTGTGTGTGTGTGTGTGTGTGTGTGTGGTGTGTGCGTGTGTGTGTGCTTGCCATGGTTAGGTGGTAGCTATTGTAACTCTGATCCGCGCCAAGCGGCTCAGCGACAAGACAGTCCAGCAGGATACGTTGGCGTTCATCGTGGATCAGCTGCAGACGTGCCGTGGGCGCAAGAGTTACTTGAAGGAGCTGTGTGCCTCGGTGCTGGGCGACCTAGTCTCCAGCATGCCGGCGAAAGTATTCAAGCAGAGCCTGTATCCATTATTAGAGTCGGACCTACACTGCGGCTGGAGTGAATGCACGGCGGAGCAGTTTATTATCCTACTAAAGGCAAATCAGTATCACTCCGAAGGACTTGGTGCGAAGTTCTTTGAAACCCACTGGGGCTGCAGTAGTATATTGCACGAGGAGAACATACCTCGTGTCGTTGACATTCTGCTCAAGGCCGGTGACATCCACAGCTCCAAGGTGCACTGTGTCTGGATCGAGGTGGCAACTCTGCTCATGTCGGATGTGGACACGTTCACAGCGTTCTGGAAAGCCGGCGTTGAGACGGCACTGCTCAACTCCACGGTGACGCGGCGCTGCTCGGCAATGCAGCTGGCGGAAGCCATCATGCCGCAGGCGTCCGTACAGCTACTGCCGGTCATTCTTAGCGCGCCGCTGCTGAAATGCGTAGTGAAAAGCATTTCGGCAAAGAAGACCATCCTACCCGCCGCCGCCAAGCAGTTCTGTAAGGGTCTTGTGGAGACTTTCCGCAAAGGTGCCGAAGCAGCGCCCGCAGCTGGTCAAGAGGCTGGTGGTGGCGACAGTGGTAAGCAACACAATCAGCTGAAAGGCCTGGTGGATGTGCTGCTGGACTTGCTCTGGCACCCGTCGCGCATCCTGCGAAGTGCCGTGGAGGAGGTCTTCCGCGGCATAGAGCGCCATCTAACTCCTAGCGCTCTGGAGTTGGTAATCACAAGCGTTGTTGGGCAGGACGACAGCGCGGACAAGGATACTGACATGGACGTCGATGAGGAAGAGGACAGTGACGATGACGACGACGAAGGCAGTGGCGATGAAGACGGTGACGGCGAAGAGAATCTGCTTTTCGACGACGGCAGTGAAGAGGACAGTGATGTCAGTGATGTTGACGAGGAAGAGGATATGGATAGCGACGTGCCATCAGGCCCAGCAACGGCCGGCACTGAAGACAGTGGCACGGACGATAATGATGACGACGATGGCGACGACGACTTTGAACTGCCTGATGAAGAGATGCCCGAGGACCCAGAAGAGATTGCAAAAGTAGATGCTGCACTAGTCATGGCATTGAAGCACCGCATAGAATCGAAGAAAAAGCGCAAGATGGAGCGTCTTGATCTGATTCACTTCCGCCTTCGTGTATTGGATGTGGTGGAAATTATAATTCGTCGAAGTCAGAATGCTAGCATATTGCTTCGTCTGGTGATGCCCTTGTTTGAGTTGACATTGGAAAAGGCCAGTGACAGTCAGGCAAGAGCTCTTATTCAGAAAGCGCAGGGATTGCTCAAGTCTCGCCTGTGCAAGACGCGCACACGCTCGTTGTCGAGTGCCGAGGATCTGGACGAGGGCTATGCAGTGCTGAGGCGGCTCATCGACATTTCCCGCCATGCGCACACTGCCGCAACCAGTACTCTCGCCACAGAGGCCATCATGTACACACTGAGATTGATGCACACATCATCATCTGCCAACGACCAGGCAGCCGCTGTCAGTTCGTTCGCTGCAGATCCAGCGAAGATTGTAGAGCTGTTTGCCGCACCAGTAGAGGAATTCATCACAAAGAAGAGCTCGCGCCTCAGCTCCAGTCTTTTCACCGAGATATTGTCACGCTATCCGTCAGTTGCCTGGCTCTTGGCCAGAACAATGGCCAAGCATCTTCCGGACAGTGCCAACGAGTTTCGGCGCAAGGAGATCTGCGTGTTGTTGTGCACGCTGCTGTCCCGCCGTGATGCCTCTTCACACGCACCAGTCCACTTCTCTGGCCTTGCTAAAGTGCTGCGCCACTCCCTGACCAAGACATTGACGCTGGCCGCTCAGACGTCCGACAAGGCGAAGGCGAAGAACTTCCGCCAGTTGATTCTCCTTGCGCAGCACTTCCTCAAGCTATCCACCATTCACGGCAGTGAGAAGCTCGCATCTGCTATCCGCAGTGACCTGCAGGAACCGCTCAAGATGGCCTCTGAGTGTAACCTTGCACAGCGATCGCCAGAGATCAAGAGCTTGATTGTCAAGCAGCTGAGCTAACCTTGTGTGTGTGTGCATGCGTGTTTGTGTGTGTGTGTGTGTGTGTGTGTGTGTGTGTGTGTGTGTGTGTGTGTGTGTGTGTGTGTGTGTGTGTGTGTGTGTGTTTGACGTACTCCACACATCATGCTGGTCGTGATGATTTAGAGCTGGCATGTGCAGCTCCGTTGTTGCCGATGTACCACTCTCCTGTACTATAACATGACTCTTGTGACTCCGGTGCAGCTCGCTTTCTGTGTGCGTGTGTGTGTGTGTGCTTGCGTGTGTGTGTGCATGCGTGTGTGTGGGTGTGTGTGCGTGTTTGACGAACTCCGCGCATCATGCTGGCAGGATTGGGGTTATAGGCTCTTGATTGATATTTATGTGAAACATAGTCCAGCGTCTACACCGCCAGTGACCTGGTGTGTATTTTATAGCCTTATAGGCAAGGAGTCGTATTTGACGACGGTGAAATGGTGAATGACAAATGACGCACATCAAAGTATGCTTTGTGTCGACTTGATTAGTGATTGGAGTTCGTTGTCTGTTTGTGTGGAAGCTTGTGTTGGACATAGTCGTGGAGGTAAGTTCCCTCAGCTCGGGTGAATGCTGCACTTTGACCGTACCTACGGTGCATCCTGCATTGGCAGGCTCCCATTCTCTCATGGTTCTGTGCCATGCATTTTGCCACTGGATTTCTGATCGGAAGGGCGCCAGTGGCTAAATGCATGGCACAGACTCGATGGGGGCGGGATTGTATGATGTCGTACAGATGTACGAAATCCCGTAGACCCGGTTGGGTGTTGAATCTGCAGGACCCTATTGTATTTGCTGCTATTCCCACTACGAAACGTGCCCTGAATGATGTAACACGAAGGTCTAGCTGCACATATCGTACATAGTCATTACCTAGGTCTAGCTGCACATGGTCATTACCTCTATTCAAAGTAATGGAGCTGGAAGGTCGGTTGTCTTCCATTGATTATTGGGCTACAGTAAATAATGGTCGAATGTGCATATATGATGTAGCACACAATGAAACACCCAACTGGACATACACAGTACCTGGGAGTCGTAAAATACCATGGTATTTTACGACTCCCTGCACAGTACTGTCCTGACACCTACGGGATTTCGTACATCTGTAGAATGTGGATAAGGTACTCTACTGTCTGTATCCCGCTCAGCAAGGCTGCTGATTGGCTATACCGTACCGGTAAAGGCCTTTTAAGGGCCTACCGTACCGTAGATCTACCATACAAACAATCCGCGATATCTGGTAAATGCATGGCAGACGTCATGACGTCAAGGATCCTAGGATCTAGGAGTCGTAAAATATCACCCGCTAGCTACAGATAGTAATCTTTTTTTGTTTACTGTATTCAATGTTTGTTTTTTGTTTGCGGGTTGTATTGTTGCTACATGTACATATCGGTATACATACATTCATTGATTGTGAGTAAACACCAGTTGAGAGAAACGACTCTGGTTGCTTTCGATGCGAACGAGAGCCAGCTAGCTAGCTACCAATGTGCCTTTCAAACTCTGCATCTGTCAAAAAATTATTGAATGAATTTTGGATCGCCTGATTTGCTCATACATAAGTCATAACAAATTATTGTTTAGGTTCAGAGAACACCAATAGAGAAGTAAACGTGTCGGATAGCATGGATGCGCCGCTACGAGATAACGAGGTATTCACCCACAGTGAGACTTTGTTCGTGCAGAATGGCAAGCCGATGGAATTCAGCATGCCGGGCTCGGCCGAGGCGAAGCACATAAACACGAAGAAACGTATCCGTGCCCTGATACTAGTGAGTCAGCATGTTTGATAACAATGTGTTCATTGACCTTGTCTCCAGTCTGGGAGATGTTTTTCGAGCTCAGCTCCAAGGCCCCCAGGGGCTCGTGCTCAGAGTACAGTACAATACTACTGGCTTCTGAGACTATCTTGGAACCGTAATATGAAATTCCATACACCAACACCGTACTATTGAACGTGTACATGTATGTAGTTTAAAAAAAATGTAACAGTCCAAGGAGTCCATCACCGAAAACACGATACACGCGCAATTAACTGCGACTACGAAACACGGTCACTAGTAACAGGGAGGTTTTGCCGGACGGACTACGCAACACATAGCAGGTACAGTCAGACCTCGCTTATCCGGTCCTCGTTTATCCGGATCCCTCGCCATCCGGAAGAAAATCGTTGGTTACTGATTTACAGCATATGCCATGCACACATACAATATGTGTGTCCGATTATCCGGTTCCCTCGCCTATCCGGATTATTTTCTGGAAAACGGATATGTGCGGTCATGCGAGGTCTGACTGTAGTTTGGTGGGGGGGGGGGGGGGGGGGGGAGGTAGCAGCTGGTCCAGTCAATGTACTGCATTAGGTTTTGGGTGTTTGCCCTTGCGGCGTGATTGGCTTAGATCCTGTGTATTGGTAACGCGAGACGTGAAAGGAGCCGCGCCTTGCTCCTCACCCTCCTCCATGGCATGCATCAGCAGCAAACACCTCCTTGTGCTACATTAAAAACACAGGGTCATACTTCTCAATCCCCATGCTGACGCAGCCTTCCACATTCTGACTTTCCCGTCAGTTTCACATGAAGAACAGCAAGGAGAGGCAGTAGATGCCACACGTCAGGATGCCTCCATTTTTGGAAATCATCGCAGTAGCTGAGGTGCCATATATGCACTATTTCCCCCGATGTACTTCATTGATCGAGTTTTGCTCCACATATTTTACCGCCACCTACGGGACGGCAAGTATCAGAATATTCTGCCCGCTTTTACAGGGTGCATTGAAGAATCATTGTTCCCGATCGTAGCGTCTTCTTGGTTTGTTGCAGAATCAAAAGTCTTTTATTGTAGTTACACTGAAATGGCACCGAATGCCCTGAAATGCTTCCAATTGGCTTCAACTTTTGAATTTTTCCGGGGGGGGGGGGGTGTGCGCTGACATAAGAATGTAGTACATGACACTGTACATGTACCGTAAAGTACCGCCAGAGCGCCCCGTCTCGCCAGAGCGCCCCACCTTGATTTTACAGCCAGGGAAAGGAAAATCATATGGCAGAGTGCAACACAGTTTATACGGTGTGAGAACCTTAGTGTCCTTAGGTCACACTTTAGCAGATTTTTGTGTGGAGCTTGTGTCCACTCGAAGGTACGGATTGACTGCAAAACGTGCGATATGTGTACGAGGTTCGTGTCATATTACA